GACCGTCGAGAGTGGGGGGAGTGGCCAGTCATCCCTGCGGGAATGAAGCAGGTGGACACTGTCGCTCAAGGACCGGCCAGGGCCAGGGCCAGGTTTGGTTATAAGGCCAGCACTGGTGATCGTAGGGGGCACAGTGTTGGACTAAGGGGGGCTGTGGAGCAGAGAGCAAGGAGAGCACCAGGTGGGATGAGGAGGCCTTGGGCAGGGCAGGGCTGACAAGCTGAAAAAATAGGCCACTGGACGTCACTAGTGATGATGTGGGCAGGTGAGGGCAACATCCCCCCAGGGGACCTAGCTGGAGACTGAAGGTGGCCTCTGTGGAGGTCTAGGGCCCCCTTTTAGCCCTGGTGAAGAATGAGGTGACCCAGGCCCCAGCCGGTGCTATTATTTTTAGGATTTTCTGTACTTGTGCACAACATACATGCATGCGCGCGCACACACACCTTGAGCACTAGAGGTAGGTTCACAACAGCTCCTCCCTGGCAGGGGAGCCCTGCTTGGGCTTGGGAGGACACCATCCTCAGTCCCTCTGTGGGTGTTGCCCACCCTCCTCAAGCAAAGCTTTGCCTTCCCAGCCCGGCGTACACCAGGCTGCCGTCCCTGCCTGCAGACTCTGTCTCTTAAGAGTGATGGTGTTTGGCTGCTAGTGTTTTGTTTTCCCCCTTCCTGTTTTTAAATTGAGTAACTCACATTTTAAAATAGGGATCTCTGCTTTTGTATAAAATAAAGGAAAAGCCAGAAGTCTGGCAGCAAAGGGCTCAGGTTAGAAGGCTGAGTGTCGATGCTGATTTTCCAGTCACCCAAGTCTCAATGCCCTGCTCTCAGTGTCCGACGGCTCTTCTACCAGCTTCTGTTGAATCTCAAGCCCGGACCTGTGCATCTGCGCCAACCTGTGACCTGCGATGGCTGAGCTGCAAGACGCCTCTCCCAGGGCCACATCATCTCACGTTTTCCTGGCTGGGTCTCTTGGGCTGCTCTGTGTCCTGAGGTCACCTGTGGGCGGGGACGCTGGGCCTGGCTGGGGACAGGCCCTGCCAGGCAGGCTTTCCTTTGAGGGGTCTATACAGCCTAGACTTCTGTCCCTCTCACTACCCGCAGTGTAGCTCTCCACACCCACGGTGCCATGTGTCCTTGGGCTTCAGGAATCTCTGTCCCAGTCAAGTGCTGGCCACTGGTCCCTCTGGCTGGGAATCCCTTCTTGTGGGGTCTCAGGTCTTCACTGGCACGTCTTACTTCTGCTAAGGCCAGCCAGCTGAACCCTGGGGTCCCAGCCATCCACAGACCTCCTCAACACGTGTGTATCTACATGCACACACACACATGCATGACTATACGTGTATACACATACATATCCACATGAAGACACACATGCATATACACATACACTAAATACACACCATACATCTACTTGCATATGCATGTACATGCATGCACATGTACAGGTACATATACATGCATCTGATCCACATGTATACACATCTACAAACACACACATGCTCTGCTTTTCTTTCATTCTCAACAGGAGTTCCTGGCCAGGGCATCTCAGGTGCTCACTCTATCTGCCCCCAGTGGTGGACACACACACACACACACACACCATGTGAGCATTGCCCACCTGCCTTGTGCCCTGCGCCCAGGTCAGGGATCCTTTGCCTGGACATGCAGTTGGTAGAGAGAGTAGGGGAACAGGAGCTGCAAGTGGGCCCTGCCCCAGCCCCAAAGGTTCTGAGCTGGACTGAGGAGCCAGGTGGACAGAGAGCTGTGGCAGGAGGAGGGTGGATGAGGGAAGCAGGGACGCTGATCAGCAGGGGCATGGTGGATGTGGGATGGCAGCAGCAGCCAAGAGCAGAAGCAGGGCCTGGGGGGTGCCCAGCTCCCGGGACTGGCTGTGGACTCGAGACCACTCCCCGCCGCAGAGGGCAGCGCAAGGTGTCTAGAGGTGCAGGGGCACTGTTCTGGACCCTCAGCATGATAAAGGGATGTTGTCCTATAGGACAGTGGTCAGAACAGACACAACAGGCCAGGTCTGGATGGGCCCACATCCTGCCCCTCGCCCATCCACCTCTCTGAGCTGGGAGCATGGGGAACATCAGGGCTGGGATCACTGAAATTTCGGAGTCCTAACGCATTGAGTTAGTTAATTGTTCCAACCTGGCCAATAATCACATGTGGGGCTAATTGAAAGGCGGAGGGATAAATGGGTGGTGAGCCTCGCCTTTCTAGTTCTCGGGTCTCTTGCTTTGTGATGGTCGCACCAGGGTACAGCTGCCTTAGCAGTTCCCTGCTTCAGCTTGCAAGATTGACTTCATACAAGACATCCCCAAGGAGAAGCTACTTGTACCTATCCGGATGCAGCCCTGGGTGCTGGAGCAGCCATGTGGAGACCCCTGCTAGTGCTGAGATGCTTATTCGTTCACTGACTCAGCTTTCCTCCTGCAGTCAGCATCATTGCCTCTGTTTTGTGAGGTGGAGGACTTTGTGGACTGGTGTTGGGTTAATGGGTTAATGTTGGATTTGTGGGCTTGGGCAGCATTGGGTTGGGATGTTTTCGTGATGCACATTTTCTTTACATAAAACTCTCTTATACGTGAGTTGCTGTGGAGTTGTTTCTCTAAAGTACCTAGACTAATACACACATAAAGGCCTGCAACATGAGATGCCTGAGGCCGGTCCGGGGGAACATACCAATCAAGGCCCAATCCTTGGGACCAGGGGACATCCGTCTTTTGCCTGCCACCCCTTGCCCTAATTTTGGACATGTAAGTAGCTGTGCCTAGCTGGCTGCCTGTCTATCCTGCCAGCAGGACTGTGACTAGCCTTCACCATAGAACCACAGGCTTCCATTCCATCCTGATTGGCCATTTCAGTCATTGCATCCACCGCACCTCAAGTGCAGTCCCTGGGTGGTGCAGGTAATGCAATGGGGCTGCCATCTGAAAGGTTGGAGGCTCAAAGCTGCCCAGAGGTCCCTCAGAAGAAAGCTTGCTGATCTCTTTCAGAAAACTTATCACACACACACAGACAGACACACAGTCATGAGTCAGGGAAGACGACAACTGGTTGGTTGGCTTCCTTCCCTCTGAGGGTGAAGTGCCACCTCTTTCCACTGCTACTCCATGATTCTGTCATTTTCTGCTGGCACACGCGAGCCCAGCTCCATGCCAGCATGTCCAATGTCAGGTGTGTCCATCAAGAATGGCCACTGTTGACCTTCTCCATGGGGCACTGCCAGCTCGCCAGCACATTCCTTAGCTGCTGAGTGGAGAGAGTTTCTATCCTCTGGGCCCCTCCCAAGGCACAAAGCCAGTGGATTCTTGGAGGTAAAACAGCTCTTTTCCCCAGGCCTTTGACACCTTCCTCAACACACTGCCAAGGCAGTCATGGAAACGCCAGCTCACTGACTGATAAGCCTTCCCCGAGCTGCTGAGGCAGTTCTGGCTCACAGTGACCTTACAGGATAGGGCACAACTGCCCCTGTCAGTTTCCGAGGCTCTAACTCTTTCAGGGGGTAGAAAGCCTCATCTTCCTCCTGAGAAGAAAGACAGGGGCCAAGGACGGCAGAAGGTCCAGCCAAGTCCTGCCACCAGTTACCAAGACTGGAGGGTAATGACTCTCTCCCAGCCTTCCTCCTGGCTTTCATTCTGCTCCCACCCATCTTTCACTGGTTAGGGGCCCTTCTCGGGCACTTCCAGCTCCTAGGAAGACCCCAAAGTTGGGTCTGCCTCCACAGAAGCAGGGAAGACGCTGACAGTTGGAGGTGGCAGCTGAGGGGCAGAATGACAGAGGGTGTCTGAGGGAAGGCTGGTGGAGGTGTAATAGCATCAAGGGGGGTTGGGGCAGCAGGGCTCATCCAGGCCTCCTGACTCCCCTCTACTCAGGCATCCTCTAGACATGTGCGCCTCTAAATATGGACCACCATTGACTGCACCCCACACGCCACCATCACTGAACTGGATTGCTGGAAAGCTTGTCCTTAGAAGATGTCAAGGCCAGTTTCTTAAGTGTCTACCTTCTGCTCCCCATCTCTCTCCTGAGGGTTTTATGAAGTTTAAGTCCAATACCTGGCTTAGATACGCTGCCTCATGCCAATGGCATTGGGCACTGCCTCATAGGCATCTGAAAGCTGGACCCTGAATAAGAAAGACCCAAGAACTGGGGCCTCGAATTGGCATCGATTATAAAAGGCTGCCAGGAAGACAAACAGTCTGT